CTGATCGGTGTGCTTGTAGTCCTCGACATCGACTAGCTTGAGCTCGACCCCCCTCATTAACTTCCCAACGTGATTGGGCGTGAGGTCCCCTAGGACTTGGGTGGCGCCGCAGCAAACCGTTTCGGTCAGGCCCCAGCCCTCAATAATAAGCGGTGTCCCGAAAACGACGTTGACGAACTCCTGCGTATCCGCCGAAAGCGGGCCACCGCCAGACAGCATCCCGTACAATTTCCCGCCCAGCATTTTACGGACCTTTGAAAAGACCATCTTATTCCAGAATGGCGTTTCCTTGCCTTTGAGAAGTGCATCACGACGACTATTATAAGCCTTCTTGAAGATGGCGTGGCGGATGGTCCCTGGTTTGGGTAGTTTCGCCTCAATCGCTTTGCGAATGGTATCGAAGACGCGCGGTACCCCTATGATCATCAATGGTTGGTATTCCCGCAGATCACCATGGGGAAAGGCGAAGTTGTCCGTCAGCGTCCGTGGCGAGCTAAAGCAGACAACCATGCCGAAGTCCATGCATATATTCACAATGGAGAACTCCAAAATATGCGCAAGTGGAAGGTACGCGCAGTACCCCCCGCTAAGGGTACTCCATGGGTATAAAGACAAGATGCGTTCTTTGAGAATTGACATCCCAGCGCACAGACTGCCATGGGTGTGGACGATCCCCTTTGGGTCGCCCATGGTGCCGCTGGTGAACATTACGAGCGCCTCTTGGTTTTTGTCGTCAGGGATAAAAATCGGGGTATCATGCATCTCCTGACCTTTCGCCAAGACGTCTTTCCAGGCGACCGCCGTGAAATCACCTAAGTCTATATTTGAAGGAAGGTTGTCAAGGTAAATAATGATTGGCTTCATGTCATACTGCTTGAGTAGTTTGATTAACAATTGGACAATTTTAGCATTGCAAATAATTGCCGCGCTCTTGGTTTTCTCTATCACACGTAGAAGCGCATTTTCGCCGAGGTTGAGGTAAACTGTCGAGGCGAGCATATTCTGCGTCCAAATGCCATAGATACTAACCATCCACTCCCAACGTGTGTCCTCGTGAATGGAAATCACGTCGTGTTGTTTAAGGCCCAAAGTTAGTAGGCCTTTTCCAAAGCTTTCCATACTATTCCACATCTCCTTGTATGTTATATTCTGGCGCGACCCACAGTGATAGTAGTCGAAAACTTTGGGTTTGTCATTCTCGCCCAACGTGGTGCGCTTTTCTACTTTCAGAATTTCGCGTCTTGAAAACGCGATGTGATCGGGATTTTCCTCGGCGCGTTTCTTAATGCACTGGACCCTGTTAGGGCCATCCCAATATTCTTTAGCCACCGCGGCCTGTTTCTTCGCGTCGAAGCCGCGGAAAAGGTAGATAGGGCTACTGACCGCGGTTTCGGTCCCCTCATCCTGGGACGACTCCTTGCCATGTTTGCGGTACTTTTGGATGATAGAATGCGGCGTCATGGTGCAGCGATTGCACAGGTCCATGATAGAAGCAACTATTCCTCCCATCGTAATATATGTAAGAATTTCCAGACGATAATTTTCCTTTTTTCCAGTGGGCAATAAAATGGAAGATGTGTAAAAGAAAAACAGCTTGCATTGAAAAGTGATAAGCAATAGGGAAAATTAAGATGTAAATGTGGGATAGGGTGATATAGAAGATAAAAAAAAATCAATAACACACTTTTAGTACATACGATTGGTTTCACTCCAAATCAACTTTGCTTGTAATGCTTGGGTTACATTCAAAAAAGTAACTTGTTCAGAGTCATAGATGTTCATACGATAGCCCTCAAATGCCTTGAGAATATATACAAGCGTAGAATGGTGTTGCGGTAGAATTGGAAAAAAGTGAAACTGACCTTTTACTAAACCTTATTCACAATAATCTTGTCATTTTACAAATCCAAACCCTCTTGTGGTGTTCTTTTTCTTTCCGACACGCATCAACCAACCATACATGTGCTTAAACGTAATCATGGTAGCGAACAAAATTAAAAGATCGCGGCGCTTATGAACTCGGAAGGGGGGAGGGGGGGGGAGGAGTCCCGTCCTCGCGCGCGCTCCGTTCCAAAGGGCCGTCATTTCCTCGCCGGAGGAGGTAAGCAATTCTCAATGTACTAAAAGTACATCATCCGCATTTTAAATAGACCGAAAGGTAAAAGGGAGTTGTAGGCAACCACTATTAAAGTTCATCCCTTTTCGTTACATCCTTTTTAAATTGTACAAAGGCTATTTTTTTAGTATAACTTTCAAAAGTAGCGCACTTGATTATACCATGTACGCAAATTAATTTTCGCATAAACTATTATTATTCACTTACTTGTTTAAATCATGCGCATGAAGTTTTTTTTGTGAATTATAGCACTCCTCAAAAAGTAAGTGGAAATCAAACGAACAAGGTTTCTTCATTATGGCTACGCAAAGGATTCATTTATCACACAAATACACTGAATTCCACAGTAACGTAGTTGATTACATCTCCTTTATTTTATCGTTTTTTTAATTATTATTATAAACAATTGTGAATCCGTAGGGTATTATTTGTATGAGGTTCACAAAAAAATTATCAATATATATTTTTTAGATACTCAAATAATATATATCCCGTAGGTGGGTCTAATTGTCTTTTCTTATAGTCATTTATCTATGGAAACTAATAAATCAAGTTGAAAGGTAGAAATAAAGTCCAATACGAAAAAAAAGCGTTTACATGCGCGTAATTTAAAAAGTAAAGAAAGAAAATCAAGCAGAATTCTGTGTATATTCTTCCCTCCTATTCCTTAACTACATATAATTATCAATAACTTATATAAAGGAAATAGATAAATGTATCGAAGATACACTGATATTAGGCTATTTAGTTATGAGCTATATTTAATCCGAAAACAATTCCTGAATGACATCGGCGTAGTGTTTTTCAATAGCGGGGCGGCGAATTTTTGATGAAGCCGTTGTAAGTCCATTCTCTGGCGTCCACTCATCAACTAGAATACGCACTCGCCTGACATGCTCGAAGCCCATTTTACCTTCTCTTTTGGCAAGGTCAACCATGGAGGTCGTGACCTCTTCCTGGAATTTTGTGTTCTTCAAGATGTCAGGCCAAGAACCAGGGATTTTGTGTGTCTTGGCAAACTCAATCGCCTTGGTCTCATCCGTCAGAGCCAACGCACAAATGTAGGGCTTCTGCGCATCGACCAAAATACAGACTCCATTGGCGATCGCGATGGGGTGCTGACAGTAAAGTGCCTCGAGGCTCTCAAGCGCGATATATTCGCCCAGGATATTTTTAGCGAGCCCCTTGATGCGACCTATAAGACGCATATTTCCGTCCTTTGCATCAAACTCGGCAATATCGCCGGTGCGAAGCCAGCCATTTGGCAGCAGCACTTCTTTAGTGAGCTCCGGCTGTTTGTAGTAGCTCTTGAAGAGGAAGTTGCCGTGGAGCAGGAGCTCGCCGCGCGGGTTGGGGGTGTCAGTGTGTTTATACTCCTCGACATCCAACAGCCTGGCCTCGAGACCTTTTAACAATTGGCCGGCCACGCAAACGAACTCACCAAATCGCTGAACAGTCGCATTGCAGACCGTTTCCGTCATGCCATAGCCCTGGACCACGGGCACCCCGAGAACCACATTTAGCCATTCCTGGGTCTTGTCGGCGATCGGGGCGCCCCCACAGCAGATCCCGCGCATCCGCCCCCCCCAAAGCGCGCGTGCGGTCTTAAAGACGACTTTATTCCAGTACGGCGTGTCCTTTCCCTTTTTCAGCGCCTCCAATCGGCTCTGGTAGGCGGTATCGAAGATGCGCCGTTTGAGGGTCCCCGGTCGGGGCAGGAGCTCCTCCACGGTCTTTTTGAGCGTCTCGAAGACCCGTGGGACGCCGATCATCATAAAAGGCCGGTAAAGGCTGATATCCCCACACGGCCTCGCGTAGGTGTCTGTCAACGTCCTCGGAGAGCCAAAGCACAACTTCGCCCCTCGCAAAAGCATGATGTTCTCGCACACGAACTCAAATATATGGGCGGAGGGGAGGTAGGCGATGTAGCTATCCCCCGTCTCTTCACCGACGAGCTCCGAAAGACGATCATTGATGATGTGGACGCCGTGGGTAAGGGAGCCGATGGAGTGCTCCACCCCTTTCGGGTTTCCCACGGTCCCACTGGTGTACATAATGAGCACACTGGTTTCGTTGTTGTGGGGTATGGTATAGGGCAGCGTGCTTTTCATTCCTTTTTGCACCACATCCATCCAGGCGTAGACCTGATAGTTGCCCAGGTCGACAGTCCCGGACAGTTCATCGAGGTAAATGATCGTTTTCATGGGTACCCCATCATCTAAGATCTTCACCAGCTTGTCAATGTTCTTCCCATTGCATACTATAGCGGCACACACCGTCTCCTTGAGGGCGTAGTGAAGTGCGTCGCTTCCCAGGTTTGAGTAAACGGTGACCCCAATCATTTCTTGTGTCCAAAGCCCAAACATGCTTGTAAGCCATTCCCAACGAGTTTCTTCATAAATGGCAACCTTACTCATTTTCTTAATCCCAAGTTCCACCAGACCCCTGCCAAATGCCAGGATAAGTTTCCATAATTCGTTGTATGATATTTTGGTAGGCTCATCCAGATGTGTATACTCCCAGACTCTTTCCTTTCCTTTCGCATCGATTTTTTTTTCCTTTGTCATTTTTTTAATTTTCCTGTAAAAAATGGCATTTTGTGTGTCCCGTTCTTTGCAATTGCGCTCTAGAGACTGAAGGATGTTTTCTCCATCATAAAAATTCGTACTGAAAAACTTGTGCTCCTTATCGGTAACTCGGGCGTAGCGATAAATGCCGCTTCTATCAGGTTCGTCCGGGGTCACTTTTTTATTAATAGGACCGTAGGTTATACGCTCTGAATAGCACTCGGAGTCCTTGGTGGAGATGCTGTTTCTCCACCTCATAATAGAGATCACACAGCCTCCCATTTTCTATTTTTTTTACTTCTAACCACTTTGTGAAACACTACAGTACTCAGGTGTCAAGACACTTTGCTCTTACCTGTTTTGCTTTTGATTGTCCTAAAACTTAGAGACACTTATACTTCCCGTTTTAAGTGTTTTCACTTTACCCTTTCCCTTACACAAAAGTATCCATGTATAAGTTGAATGAGTTAGATATGTAAAGAAATAAGTGTCGAAATAATAAAAGTGGTTGGGTTTAGTTACCAAAATAGTAGGCCATCGAAATATTTGTAAATTTCAGTCCTTTACACTGTGCTTTTCTTTCATGTGTGTATAACAGTTTTTTTTGAAATAAAACGTTAAAAGGTAATAATTAGTTATATATATCCGCATATTGTAAACGAGTTCTAATCTTCCCGACAGAATAGCTCGTTTATAAATATATTGGTACTTCAATAACAAGACAAGTAACAAAAGGATATATACAAGTACAGATGTTGCACATAAAGCGTTAAAAGTTATGCTAAATAGCCATAGCCCGTTTTATTGGGTTCTTTAAGCTGATCACACAGCATCGTTATAATAAAAAAAGATACGACATATATACTTTCCTCCGCTTCATTTAAAACAGTGTGCTCTGAAACTCCTAACAGCGTAAAAAAAAAACATAAACATATTATAGATTATCGTCCTTTACCTTACGGAAGCTCTAAATCGTACATTCTAGATGATTTAGTCGATAAAGGTGGCTTATTCTCCTCTTTTTAAAACTGCTACACAAATTAATTCATCAGGAAAAGAATATATTCCACTTACTAGCATATGTTTCAGAACGGGGGCTCTCATATCTTTGCTTTTTTTTTTATATACATTTGTATATATATTAGTTTTTTTTTGACTTCTAGAGATTTGGTATTTAGAGTCAAGCCCCTAGACTGCTAGTCCCAGAGTATGAAAGCATAATTGGAGGAATTTCGTAGAAAATACAGGGGATTAAGACGGGCTACGATATGGCAGCTTCACAGCCAAGTCGTGAATATGTGTTTTAAAGGTGAGTAATATAGTACTGTTAACTGTAGATAATCCAAAGGTACCTTTTATTATTTCCTTTCATCATATTTTGCTGTATTTGGTACATTTATGTAAATAAATGTCAACAAACTTATAATAAGCGAAGAAATTATATTCTTTGCAGAAAGCAATAAGCTAACCTTTTTCCCCTTTAACCCAATTTTTCCTACGTAAACGCACACATGTATTTTTTTTTGAGTTTCGACCATACTTTTATGATGATATTTCTTGGATTAAGAAACGTACTGATTAAAAATATATTAGGTCAGATCCACACATAAAGCAATGGAAAGGATCGAATTTCCGAATGAAAATAATTATAAAATCTATGCGTGTCCCATCATATTTCCACTCCAAACGAGTAAAATACATCAATAGCCAGGCGAAGTAAACAGATAATCTGAAAAGTAGTTTTCCTTCTTATTACTGTAGCAGACGCATACAATTAGATTTATTTGACTCTCCTCCCCTTCTAAAAGATAGTGTTTATGGGTCTAATGGAATGGGGTGTGCAACTCAACACCGCCTGTGTGAGCTGCCATGGTAGTTAGCACATGCATAATACTATCCCCTGCTTTCCCAACTGTCACACCTATCACTGCACAACAAATCAATATGATCTTAGCATTGCAATATATATGCTGTAAATATAAACAGAGAAAAAATCGGAAAAATGATATGATCGATCTGTTAACAGAATCAACAAAGAGGGGGGAGGAGGGTGAGTGGGAAGTTACGCACAAATCGCATAGATTATTGAGCCGATCAAGTACACAGCATATTTAGTTTTATTATTCTTGCTCCTAGATTTTTTTTTGTTCTCGATGTTTATGACTTTGGAGGGTTATTTCATTACTATCAGAAATGCTTATCCAAGGTGAGACCAACATCGTGACCTGACATGAACTTTTCGTCCTTATTTTTAATTATAAAAGGTAAACTCTGATTTTTTTTAAAGGTTGATATCATTCCTTTTTTTTAGAAAAGTTGCACCGTTTCTTTTCTTTCGAAGATTTGAAAAGGTGCGTAAGCTCACTGTTGACTGCACATGCCACTCTTTTTTGAAGCCTGATCGTTAATCTCTGAGTAAATATCGGAATCTATTGTTGATGCAACATTGCCTGCGGCCTGTGGTGTGGGTACGTTTCGTCCATTCGTTGGGAGAGATTGATCCTCTCTAACTGTATCGACATTTGTTGGGAGGGATTGATCCTCTCTAACCGTATCGACATTCGTTGGGAGAGATTGATCCTCTCTAACCGTATCAACATTCGTTGGGAGAGATTGGCCATCTCTAGCCGTATCGACATTCGTTTGGAGAGATTGGCCATCTCTAGCCGTATCGACATTCGTTTGGAGAGATTGATCCTTCTTAACTGTATCGACATTCGTTGGGAGAGATTGGTCATCTCTAGCTGTATCGACATTCGTTTGGAGAGATTGATCCTTCTTAACTGTATCGACATTCGTTGGGAATGTGACCTTGTCTGGCTTATGGTTCGGCTCTGGAGTGTCTGTTGCGAGTGCGGAAACTTCAGTAACCATAGTGGATGACTCACAAGGAGCCTGAGATACGGGCTGAAACGCTGGGTCATCCTTTGGGCTAGAGCCAACACTACCATTTCCACCCTGAACGTTCGCCGCTTCTTTGGAATTTTTCTTGTCCCTTCTGGAGGTTTTCCTTGATTCAGTCGCTACGACACGGTCTTTTTGCTCCACCGTTGTCTGGGTTGTTGTGTCTCTAACATTCTGCCGCTTCTGCTTTCGGTTGCTCTTTACAGTATCCCCTTCGTCGTGTTGGCTGCTAACCACCGCGCTTCCTTTCGGAGCATTCGGCTTAATTTCACTTCGTTGGTTGCACGCGGAGCAGACTAGGTTACCCTTTCGGCCCCCCCGTGTCGCGCGGTCCCCTTTAGCGAACTCGCCGCAGGTGACGCAGAATCCATAGCCGGTCTTCGCCCAGCAGTTGTAGCAGTAGTACCGCCGGTCCCTCTTATCGATGCGGAGGTCGTCGCGCTGCTTTTTGTAGTGGCACTGCGCGCAGCGTTGGCTTGGGGGCGATGATGGGGCCACCCCCTTTGCCGTCTCCTCGCTGAGGGCGCTCACTTGCCTGGCGGAGGGGGACGGGGTCAGGGTGGGGGGCGTAGGGGGCCTGACATCGGAGTTTCCCTTGCGCACGATGTGCAGGGAGGGCACGATGCTGGCCAGGAGCTGGAGCTGCGACGGGGCCTCCGCGGCGGGCCCGACCGCCTGCGTCGTCCCCCGCGTAAGTATCTCGGAGGCCTTCGGGAAGTGGGAGGCGAGGGGAAAGTCAGCGGCGGACGTCCGGGACGGGGGCCCATCCGGGGCCAAACGGGCCATCGCGATGCCGTAGGACGGTGGTGGCGCCGCCTTCGCCGTGTCCGCCGGCGAGGCGTGTGGGATCTCAGACGCCACGATTTGCTCTGTGATCAACCACGACACGAACTGCGAGCGGGGGATCAGGCAGGACTGCAGCAGTTCTTTTACGTCGTGAAGGTAGTCGGGGCGCACGAGGTCATAACGGATGCGACTGAAGGTCCAGCTCTGCTGAAGTCCGCTCCCTTGGAGGCGACAGGTGATGATGCTGCCCTGGACAATTTCGGAGTGACGAACGACGACAGTGGCGGACTCGTACTGCACATACTTCTTTTCGAATTTGTTATACACCTCAAGGGCGTAGGTGCGGCATGGGAGCTCGTAGGAGTCGTCCATGCTATGGCGCTGACTAAAGGTAGTACCTAGCCTACTTTGAGACGTAATGCTATCTTTGATCGAAGACTCAAGGGATGGCTCTTGGGTTTCATGCGCACGGATGAAGCCTCCTACACGAAAGTCTGCTGTTATCGAGTCAGGTGGGCGCCAGAGCAATACATGATCGGACCGATGAAGTAGCTGGGTGGGTTGCAAGACGATACCTTCGCTAGCGTATTCCTCGGAGTCTAAGAGATTCAACGTGTTGGAAAGCTTGTGTTCGGATTGGTACGCAATCACACAGTCCACATCATTTGAAAAAGTCACTTTTTCTTCAGATAATAAATAGTTTTGGAGTATCGCCTGACGCTCGTCCCACAGCATGCGCATGGAGATATTATTTGATGGCTGATTTTTTTCGCTCCAGAAGATTATGTCATAAACAAGAAAGAATTCCTTGTGACGATTCCGCGAAAAGCGCGTGAGAATTCCCTCCAATACAAAGGAAGCAATATTGTCGAGACTTTTTCCCATCCAAGGTTTTCCTGTCATCAGGAGCACTGCCCGCATATGAGGAGGGATCAGGTACATCTTTTCGTTCACGTAGAGCAAGAGGTAATGAGTGCCTTCGGGTTTTTTTCGAACACGGTAATGTGTTTTAATGGCATTTAGACGCGCCTTATCGGTCATCTCTTTTGTTGAAAAAGGAACTAATAGAGTAGAGGTTGGAAAGTGGAAACCTCGAACGCTGACGCATTCAAACAGCGCGATCATAACGCGATAATATTCCTCATAGGAGTCTACAATGACGTTTGAATGTGATTCTTCGTAGTAATGGGTACGAATTCCTTTCGTTGGGGGCTGCACGCAGAAGCCCAGAGAAATTGTACGCAGGTTCTGAACCACTTCCTTTTCAGTTTTAGAAGCATCTACAACGCGGTACATGAATGCCATCTTCGCCAAACTTGCTACTCGGGCGTGGATGACATGATGATACTTGAGCTTTTCGCGCAGTTCATCGCCTCCACTCATGCGCCGAATAAGGGTATCATTGTCTGCGCATTCCATGCCGATGATGCCTACAAAAGGGATATTCTTTGATTGAAGAAGCATTGTTAAGTAGTAAAGGTCCTCAATACCTCTTAAATTTTTGTCAATTATGAGACCTTTGATTGTTCGATGCAGTTTCTGTTGCTCTAAGAGCGCATCCAGGCGCTTACTGAGTGCGTCGAAGACGTCTTTTGTCTTCTCCCACAGGGAGTGCTTTGTGGATCCCTCTGGTAGAAAATCTGCGCCCGAAAAGAAAGCCCAGCCTAAGCCGTCGGCCTTGAAGCTGTTGACGAGCTCCCGACCGAGGGTGGTCTTCCCCACAGCGGGCGGGCCGGCGAGCAGGACACAGGAAAACTTTGGCGGCTCCTTGGAGTTGAATGCGGCCAGTGAAGCGTTACCGACACTCACTTTGGCCTGTTGAGGAGCCAGCGGCTGCGGGAAGCCCGTGTGTGGCATTGGGATGTTGGGGACCTGCGGGGAAGGCGCGGCTAAGGGGAAGCTGAGGGTCTGCGGGGCCAGACCGGGAGGGAACCCCCCCTGGGACTGCGGGCCCGGCGTCGCCCCAGCGGGTGCGCCAGGCGGGGGCATCGGGAAGGGCATCGGCATCATGGGAATGGACATGGGCATCGATAGATGCATTGGGAGCAT